GCCAGTTGTTACGTGATTTAATATTGCCTGAATGCTTAAAGATCGATAACTGATTATCGTTTTGAAATATTCTGTTGCGGACGAGTTTTCATCTCTTATTATTTACCACTTTGTTGTATATGGATTCTTCAGAGAAAGAGTGCACGATTCAAAGCATTTCTATTTGAATAATTTGAGGCTTACCGTGAGGAAAATCATCTGATTGTTCCGGCCGTTCTTATTCGCTCTTCAAAAGTGGATAAAAATTGATAAAGGCAGAATCTAGCCAAGAAGTTTACTGCGGATATTCGACATAGCAGAATATTTAAGTAGTCCTTTAAATTCAAGGAATGAAATCCATTCATAGTACTGACAAAACATTTTTGTTGAGTTTTGGTCTTCTAGACTGTGATATGCATTTTATAACTATAGTTGCATCCATCCATTTTCAGAATTTGCTCTTCCTTCCAGGGGAATGATGCAGTTCCAGACATCCAACGGTCGGCAAGCGTCACAACGTGTGGAAAACGTTCCGTTCGAACCATCTGGCCCTCAGTCTTTTCCTCTTGTTCGCCTCGCACCTCCTATCTCCACAATCATCACAACTGTGACTTCTAATGTGGAGAGGGGTGTTTTTTTCTGTTTTATCCTGAAGGTTGTTGTTGAGCTTCGTCACTCCAGCAATGCTTCGAAAGAACCTAATTTCTGCCCATTATTTCAGAGTTAACAGTTTTTCACTCACTGTTCAGCACTCATGACCATGGAAGAGGGTAGGTACAGCCGTGTGCAGATTTGAAGACATAGCTCTCGATTATGAGTAATAAATTTAATGCTTCATCTCTCTTACATTGTGGATAAACTTTTGTAGGAAAAGCAGACAAGCATAATCGGAAATACATGCATCATTCGCTTTCTTTCTAGTTGTCAGGTTCTTTTCAGCTGGTCCGCAACATATCAAATGCTGGTTTATGCAAGCCCTTTTAGCTTTTCTTCATGTACTGTTTCTTTTTCAATAATCCTACAGGACACGCTCAATTTACTTGCAGTGCGAACTGTTTTAAACCTTAAGCGTTGACACGAACATTATCATTGCATGGTTTGTTTCCTAAATTTTATAAATTCCATAACTCTAGGAACTCTGTGCCCTTCGCTTGACGACACCTGTACGTGCTAATAGTTCATTTAACAAGCTGACCAGTTTCCATGGAGCAGTGATGAGTTGTTTGAACGTGTGCTTTACAAAGATATGAAGGTATGAGCGCAAGAACTGTCACAGGTTTAAGCCGTCCAGTTCTGTGTGCTCATACGTGGACACACAAAAAGGACTTAAATGTTCCACAGGCCCAATTTTGTTGAAATCGAAGCCTCTTTTTGTTGTAATTTCAGGGAGATTATAAGTTGGTGGTATGAAATAAAATATTGCAATTTCTAATAGTAGGTTTGCCGAGTTTTGGTTTCATTTTCTCTTCGTTCGCTGCGTCACAGAAGTAGTCCGATACCATGGTTATCTTTTCTACAAGTATATTGCAGACAGCAAATGCTACCCTCTATCAGACGAATGATGCCACGATGTACAGTTTTATACTAAGTTATTCAGCGCTATTTGCGCAGTCTTGACGATACAAGTGGCGCGAACGGTGTTTCTCTGTTTTTTCATTGCATCATTCATTCATCGTTGTCCGAGTCTTTCATTAATCTAGCCCATGAATCGTTATTTTTCGTTAAGAGGGTAGATGCCAGTTGTTTTGTTTCACTGAAGTGTACTTAATTAGGGTTTGCCTCTTTCAGATGGATTTGTTTTAAACGTAAAAGACATTAACTGTTTCTTGATTGCCATCGTTTCTTTAGCGACCGTTTCAGAATTAATGGCAGATCATCGTTGCATCGTAGCAGTTAAGAAAAATACACTCTACCACTCCTTGCTTTGATATTCAGTTCCATACTCTGACCGTTGCCGGTTTCGACTGCGGTCCTTCATAATTCAATGAGACTAATTCATAATTCATATTTCATCGTGAGTACCGTCAGCTGGTCAGAGACGCTTTTGTAACCAGCACAAAAATTGGAAGCATTTCGTTAAAGCAGACCTGCTTGCAACAAGAAATGTCACTGTTGTTGCCACAACAGTGAGCGTTGCTTATCGTAGATCTGAGAAACCATTTCAAGCAGGCAGTAACCATCAGCTCATAGTTACAGTTCTTCAAGGCATGGATATTAAGGTTTGATATGTCTGGAGAATCCAGCAGTAAATGTAATCGTATAAATGAATTAACTGACCTTGGTTCAGATGTTCTAGTATCTTTGACGAAAGATTGAGGTACAACGCAACCCTTTCAAGAATACGCTACCACGCCTCTTGAGTCATTCAAGACTGCTGTATGGCATGCAGACATTTTATGAGTAACACAAACAATACCGCATCCTGTTCAACAGGCAGATACTGAAATAGCAGAATTATGATTGGTAAGATGGCATGCTCGTATAACTCAGATACCTCAAATGGCAATCTATCCTGAGGTTAGAAAATTAGCTCCATTTGATGAATTTATTTGTGATATTATATTTTACTTCGTTTATCGATTACTTATGAAGGAATCCAAACAGCAAAGTTTTTCTATAGTCATATATCATGCAACATGGAAAATAGTGCTGAAAAAGACCTGCCTCATGCAGAGATTTGTTCCTTCGATGATGCAGTAGTCGATTCCCTG